TAATACTTGAAAAGAAGTAAAGCTAGAGAATATGGGAAAAACACTAGCAACAGCTCAAATGAACAAATTGAAAGATTTTATGAATGGAAAATAGGGACAAGGTAATTGCAAATATCAAATTTGAATATACTGTATTTTTGGTTAAAAATTGGAATCGAAGAATGACGTAGTTGAGCTAATGGACAATAGTCAAATAAAATTCCAGAATAGAAAAAGTTAAAAAATTGAAGAACTGTGACAACTCCAACATATTCAGCAGCAAAATCTATTCAAGTACAGACTTTGACCAATGTAGAAAAAAGTTTGTCTAGTCATATTACAATCACTTTAGTTAGACCAATATGTTAAACTCAAACTACAATTAAAACATTGACAGAATTTTGTCTAATCATGCATTGGACCTGCCACTCAAGTAAGTAGCACAACTCTGAATTTCTGGAAACATCTTCAATCATCACATTAAATACATTTAACAGGACTGCTACTAGAAGTCATCTGAGAAATCATTTATTTGAGTGAAAATGGAAAATACTCAAATGGTAAGGTAATTTAAAATACAAACAAGATTAGTATACAAATAATCATTCTTTACTTGATTTTCTCAGATTGGCTTCCTTTCAAAAATGATTGCAACAATGTCATTTAGCTTTCAGATTAGTACAAATTTAAATAGATGGAAGTAAGTTTGATTTTGTCTTTGTTGGATCAGGCTGTTAAAATGACCTGCAAGCTAGATGTTTCCATTTGCAGGAAGAGTGCAGCAATTTTCATTTCAAACTGAACTTTTAGCTAGATTAACAAATGACTTTTTTTTTGCCAATGATCTTGTGATAGTTCCTTCAATTAGGACATATTTCTCAAGTTGACAGAGAACGTTTGCTGGTTACAGATATGCTTACTGCCCCTTGGCGATTAGAGATAGGTTTCGTAGCATATAATGTTCCTTCTGGAAGTGGATTAAACATTTAATAACTATGGCTATTAGGAAGAATTCAACCTGGCAGAAAATTTACTGGACTGGATCAGCTGTCCATTTCATATTCTGCTTTGCACTTATTTCAATGCAAATTCAATTCAGATAGGGTTTAAAACAGATGTGCTGATCCAATGCAGTCAGGGTTAGGTCAAAATTTGTCGGTAGTCTTTTTATTACTCCTTATTATTACCAAGATGTTCAATCACATCATACTAAAAATGCATGCAGGTGGCTGAATATAGGTCGAGATGTGTCTACACAAATAAGCTTGAAGTTATGCTCAGACAAATGTATACTATATCGCAAACCAATGTGGCTTAGAATACTAGTCCTGGCATAGCAGAGTGCTGTTAAATCAGCATGATATCAACTCAATTGATAGTGTTCCACCTGTATTAATGTTGGATACTTGCCATCTATTTCTCTTGGATGCCTGCCAGAATTCATAAACATGCAGCAATAGCAGCAGAGATAAGCCACTGGAACCTGCTCTACCACTCAAAAAGATCATGGCTAATTTTCTACCTACACACCACCATCCTGCACTATTTCTATATCAATTCCACAAATAGAAAGTGTTAAGACAATTTCCTCACTGACCACATTGGTTAGTAAGGTCATAGTTTTTAAATACCAGAATTCTTCAAATTAGCCATCCTTAGTCAAGATATTAGTGGATAAGGGGTCCCACCAATCTCACTGGACCTGCTCGAGCACATCTGGTTCAATTGTGTTAATCCCTGAGATAGATTAATCAATCAATCTCACTGTCTTTATTAAATGAACAGTGGCCAGCTGGGTATGTAGTGGAAGGTAAACAGCACCCATGAAAGCATATTCCATTAAAAAAAGTTGCCAGATTCAGGTTCAAAGATTTTCACCATTCAATATCATAAACCTGAGACCAAAAAAGGTCACCAAAGTACACTGTATCATAAAATAATGTACACTTTCAAGAAAACAGCATTTTAAAAAAGCTGTTTCAAAGGAAGCTTTGTGACTAACTTTCAAAATATTCAACAATGCAATCTAGCCTTTGTTGACAAGGTCAAAATTTAATGCCCATCTCTACCTGCCCTTGAGACAACTTACTGGATTGCTAGGCCATTCCAGAAAGCAATTAGGAGTCAAATAATTGTTGTGGGTCTGGAGTCACATACAGGCCAGGTTAGATATGGATGGGAGGGTTTCTTCCCCTATGGAAATGAATACATTTTTATGATACTCTGAAAATCAACAGCATAACCATCAACAATTTCCAAAATACATGTACAATTCTGGTCACTCTTTGATATGAAAGACTTTGTTAAACTTGAGAGGGCGCAGCAAAGATTTACAAGGAAGTTGCTGGGACTGGAGGATTTGAGTTGTGGGACTAGGTCAGATTGGAATGTCTGGTGGATAAGTTGGACCGAGTGGTCTGTTTCCATTCCGTATGACCCTATGATTCAACGTGACCGAGGCAGACTTATTACTTCCCATACAACTACTCAATATTGTGGATCACTTTGGAAGGCTCAGGGAACTTTCAAAAATGAAGTGCAGATTAGTTACTCACAAAGGATTTTTTTTTAAAAGTAGTACAATTTTTGACACTAGATATTATAAAAAAAAGTCATCAGACTGCAACGTGGTCTTATGCTAACCACCTGTATCAAGGACACTTACTACAGTTCAGTCATTATCTGACCTGCTGATTTAAAAGTGTGAAATACCAGTAAATGTCAGATTAAAGACATTCAGCTTCATCCCATGATTAAAACTGAGTTCCCAGAGCACAAGCTGAAGTATACCTGGCAACTGAGTACAGTTGTAATTGTCCCAAATTCTATACTCACATTCTGCATTAGCTTTGGTGAAGTTTTGTGGCGTGAAAGACACACTTGGGGTGCTTTTAAACTAAAATACTTCAGGATCAGGTTTGAAAAAGTCAGAATACAGCTCTCAGATTCACCTTAATTCTATCACATAAGGACATCCTTTAGACTCTCTGTTCCATTTTCTACAATGTCCAACCAGATTTCCAATTTATACTAGTAATTTGGCTTTGATGGCCTGACCTAAACCCTAGAATAAACCACTACTTTATTTAATTTGGGATCCTTCAAACTGCCATTCATGAGACTTCCACTCCTTTAGTTTGGGGAAAACTGGAAGCCAGATACCAGAGGTGAAAGGACATATACCAGAATAGCTCCTGCTTGCGAGATTACAGAACTCATATTTAAAAAGAACTCATAGCTACCAGTTGTATGAACAAAAATGGTGTTAAAATGCATTTTATCAATTGCTTTTCTTTTTGATTGCAATTTCAACCTAGATGACATTTTCTCCCCTAAAGATAGGAATTTAGGAGACATTAGTATAAAACAACTACAAAATACTAACCTTCTAAAATAGTTGGGTCAAACTACAGTAATCCAACATACAGGTCATTTTTCATTGCAATGCCACTAACATAAAAAACATTTTTTTAAGAAGTGTAGGATCCCACCCAACCAACCTGCTCCCAGGAAACAAACGCTTTAGCACACACAAGTGCAATCATAAACTGAACTGCAGAATGGTGAGCTATAGACATAATTCTCTACGCAATCAATTCCTGATATCAGCCAAGCTATCTGGGGAAAGAGGGGTTGGAAAAAAAACCACAACAAATCATTGTATACAAAATAAAAATTTCATTGTGTATTAAAATCACTTGGAAGAAAATGATACAATTATATACAGATATGTGAAACTTGAACCAAAATAACTACAGCAATATGCACTTCCACAGTGACTGATTTATAAATTGACAACGTCACCTGGTAACTAATGAACGAACTGGAAGTCTTTGCAAATGAATGAAAATGCAGAATTGCTAAGTTAGCATTGATGCAAGGAAAAGAAAAAAAAACAGCTTTGGTTCTACACTGTCAATATATATACAGTACCATTCAGCTTCTAGGAACTAATGATCTTGCATGAGTTTGATCATTTGGACCATAAGTTCTTAGAATTCAATATGTCTACATAATTGAAATCTGTTGCATCTTCTCGTTATCAATATTAAAGGCACATCTATTTTGATGAACAGATATTTGTTCCCCACCACCCACTGGGGGTTTACAGTACATAAACTGCACTGGACAACTATACAATTATCACTCTCTAGCTTCACATGAAGTTCAAGAGAATATAATTTGTGAATCTTAAACCTACTTATTCATTCCTGTGAATTAAACAGGTTTAAGTGCAAATTATGTTATGTGAATATTTTCTGCCCACTAACATCTTTACATACATAGACATCTGTAGCATTTCATTACAGATCAAAAAAATTGTAACTCTCTGCAGATATATATAAAAAACCTATCAAATCTGTGCAAGCTACCTGCTAAGCACATTACAGTTTTGACTATTTAACAAGAATCAAGTGCATTTCCACTCAAATTGCTTTTACAGATGTTACAAACTGTGCAAGAGCTACTTACACACAATTTAACTTAAAAAAATTAAAATGTCTCTTAGAATGTTAAGGAGGCTAGAAAGTTTAGTTTTTGAAGGACTCACTGCTCCTTCACTTTACAGAACACTGACCAGTTCTCGATACTCATCCAACATTTCCAAGAGCCATAACAAAAATTACCACTTTTTTTAAAAAAGGAAATTTTCGCTAGAATAAATTCAGTGTGCTTACATCTGGAAAATTATTGAAAACATTATGAGTGACAGACAGAAGACTAAGAATGAAAGTGTTCAAAATTAGCAGGCTTTATGCATTTTTACTTTAAAAGATGGAAATTTGATCATTCCATGTTGTTTTGTAAAAGTACTCAGGCTACTGGGATACAACAATGTAATGCTCTTGAAACCTGTTAAAATGAGTCAATTATCAAGAACTTCTAATAAATATTGGTCACCGTTAATAAATTATCACAGTTTTCTAACCATTGCACCCTTAGCAGCTGTTCATATTTTTTCAGTGCTATGTACTAGTTGTGCGTTGTACCACTGCTATCTATTCTCCCATTTTAATTAGATTGCGGTTTCTGCTGGTGCACGGAGTTCATTTTGCGATGTGGAAACTTTTTCTAGTGAATCACGAGCAGCAAGCTGGAGAGAGAGAAAAATATATAAATATAACTAGTGTACAGTCACCACTAAAAAGAGTCGTTATAAATCTGGTTTAGTACTTTCTTTTCTAGATACTGCCCTTGCAAGTACTTTTGTAACTAGGCTGTAACATTTCAATTAATTATTCTAATAACATTTAAATGTTTGTAAATGTTTTTCATTCCTGGTCAACAAGCTGCATAGATGATCACCATCTTGTTCTGGCTGCACACAGACTTGCCCAGAATGAGGGCTGACTAGTTCATTCCCCATCAAATCGCTGCAGTATATGATCAAGATGGATCCTATGTATATAATAATGCCCCAATCACTGCATTTTTCTGGATAAAACTACCTATATTGAATCGCGAGATATTGGTATAGGTTAGGCCTTAACTTCTACTTACTGTAGCTTGGATTTTGTTTGCTGTAAAATAAGACAGTTTGTCCAGTGTTCTACTGTAATTCTCATGGTGCCTCCAACTCAATGTCTTACAGGACAATGGTGGCATCAACAGGCACCTTAACCTATCTGTCTCAACCACAAAGAGCAACGGTACTTTCAAAAAAAAAATTATGTAATGTAAGCATTACTCTTAAGGTCAGCATTTAAACTCATCCCTAACCACACTTGAAAACGCTAGTGTTAAGCCGCTTTCTTGAACCACTGCAATTCATGCAGTGTAAATACAGTACTGTTAGGGAGTGAATTCCACATTTTGACTTAATAGCACTAAAGAAGTGGCAATAGATTTCCATGTCCAGATGCTGCGCAACATGGAAATTTACTCAAAACATGTCCAAATTTCAACAGCTGTATGTTAGGTAAAGAAAGAGAGATTTGGCAATGGAAAACAATCTGCAACTGATCATGTTTTTTGGAATAGGAACAACTACTTTACAACGATTTTGAGGGTTTTGTAATATCACTACTAAAGTCTAGTTTCCTGACTGGAAAACAGACAAGCCCATTGGAAGCAAACTGACAAAGGCAACTGGTTTGGAAGAATGGAGTCACGTATGACAAGTCCAGTACATAAGATTCACTATCGCATGAGGAGATTACACAATGACTCTTGAATTATTTAAGTTGTGAGATAAAGACACCTGTCGACAGCAGTGTCAACTATGCAGTAAACTCAGTTAGAGTTTCAGCAGACAACTAAAGGGTCAGTTTTGAAGTTTACATTGGTGTGTGATGTCTTCGATGAGAAAACCAAATTTTGATGTGAATTTTATACGAATCCTGAAGTCTATCACATTCAGCTTCTGGGCCAAGAATCAGAGCTCAATCTTTCCTTCAACATTGAGCAAACCTTGCTGCAATAAGGCAATAGAGTAGAGGAAGGCCATCGGGCCTATTATGTCCACTCAGCCATTCAATGAGCTCATTTGATGGTCCTCAACTCTATATTCCCACTTTTCCCCAAAAAACCCTCGATTACTGAATGATTAAAAATCTGTCCATCTCAGCCTTGAATACACTTAATGACCCAGCCTCAACACCCTTTGCAGTAAATAATTCCACTCACCTTCATACCTATTTAACTAGTAACTTTAAACGTAGCAACCATAGGCTCTCATCTTAAGTAACTTTTGTGAGGAATCTTATCGAATGCCTTTTCAGAATCCAAATATATAATAGTTTCTGGCCCCCCTTTATCCACCCTGTTTATTATCTTCTAAAAGAACTGTATATATTTGTCAAGAAACTGGAATCTGAAGTCTTAGAATCGCACCCTTTGAACCTGCTTTGTCTCAATGAATTACTGCAGAATCCTTTTCCACAAACAGAAAAAGATAAACGATCAACTTACCTGCGCAGTTACAGCTACGTTTGCTTGTTGTCTTCTTAGGTCTGATTTTATGAAAACTGTAAAGAAAATAGAAATTATGAAACTATTTATTTTCTGTTGCACACACATTTAATCAACAATGGAACCTATGAAAGTGAACACTTAACAACCTTCCAAAGAAGATTGGTTAGTTTACTTACATAGCCAATTAAACCATTAAAAAATTATAATGTCTGTACAGCCAACTTTATTCAGCATCTTTTTAAACCATGAAAAATGAAGCTTTCAAAAATGCATAACATAAAATGAAGGCTTTCAGATACAGTTTCCATCATTCAAACTAAAGTATTACAAATACATTTCTAGTTATAAAAACATTAGAAAGTATTACTTAAACACATCTCATTTATATTATTTAACGAGAGATTTTTTTTAATAATGACAATTCCATTGTAATCAATTACATTCGCTTTAACAACTTTGAGAATGTTATACATATGTCTGTTTATCATTGAAGCCAGCAAGGGACAAAATTTACGTATCAGCTTCTGTCAACCTGTCGTTTTTTTAAAAAAAATCACTGACAATGAAAATATTTAATTTACTCGAATAGCAGCACCATACACAAACAAAAAGTATTGAGTTACATTTTTGCAGAGTCCTTACCTCACACAGCTTCCAGACAGAACAACGGCTGAAAATAGTAACACTAACCAATTTAGAAATAAAAATGTCCAGCATATATTAGAAGTCACCAATAGAAGGGAGTGATTTCAAGGCAATATATAAAAAGAGGACATGAAGGTAGAATTGATGGTTTATCAAAGTAAAATAATTTTGATAACTGCCACAAAAACATGTTTTAGAGGCACGGTGTGATTTTAATTGCTTGTGATTGTTGAGATTATCTTCTACAAACTTGAGGCCCTCAAGTGATAAACTTCTTAAATAATTCAAATATTTAAAATATTTACATATGTGCTTACATTTTTGGACATTAAATATGTTATTATTGTGCAGGTCAGTCTGGAGTCTCGGGCTTGGAGCAAAAGTTGTAAAGAACATCAGGTAGGAGAACTATCTGTGGAAACTCCACATGGTATCTCAATTTAGTGCAATTGCAATAGAAGTAAGGTTTCTGTTAAAATTTACTTCAACAGCAATCTGCATTATTTATCATCAGTTACATGTGGCACAAGTCATGTTCACAGATGCCCATGAAAGATATAAAACATTGCAGAGTGCTGGTTGAGAAGTCACGTGTATTTCACAACACTAATTGTTATATTATTTCAAAAGGCCATGAGCTTTATATTGTAATTTGTACAGAGTTCCAAAACAAATTACGGCCTCAAATCACTCCCAGCTATTCTTTCTGCTCCAGTGTTGTTGCATTAAAGCTACAACCAAGCTCAAGTACAGAAGCTAATTCACCATTTTATACCTGCATACCTGATAAGTAGTGTGTGCAGATTTAGGTTATGACAGTTGTGCAGTGGCTCCATTCTTTTCAAGTTTATGCTTTAAACTAAAGTTTAATCAAAAGATGGTTCATGCAGTTAATGTTACCCACTGGATTTTATAGTTGTGTTAGAAGCATCTCATAAGAGATATAACATATGCAACCTGCCCTTAACACCCAATGAAGAACTCAAAAGGTTTGAGTGTGCATATTTAACATGAAAAGGATTTAATAAAAAGACATTTCACTATTAAGTCATACCCCTACACAGATTCATTACCTGTAACAACAACAGTTGCATACCATGTCTAGTGGCTGGAGGAAAAAAATTGTCACTTTTCCACATCAGATGGTGGACAGACTAGAGTATGAACCTTCTGCTGGAGAAACAAAAAATAAACTGACACTATCTTGACGTGTACAGAATAGTGGTTATAGCAGGTCAGTTGATCAGGGTTTATTTGTGCTTAAGAGTTAGAAACTTATTTTTGACAGCCCCAGCCAGCATCAAGTACTCCTGACATGGTCAGGTAATGGTCAGATGCAGAGTAAAACTCCCTTTAAACTGCCCCAACAAAGTATCTTAACTGCAACCTCAGAACACCAGTGTGATATTTCCTCATCAGCTATTTTCATAGCTTCAAGAAACAGATTGCCACCTGGTGTCAAACATACAGGAAGCCCTGTGTGTTGGAACTAAGTGAATTAAAGAAAAGATTTTGAGATTATTGGACTCAATTCATGTCAAGTCTTTTTAAACAAATTAAAAGGAGGTTTTCCTTCCATACATTCAGCTTTATTTCAACACATGTCCCAGGAGAGGACAGTGTTCCAATCCACAGCACCATCAAATCCCCATCAGAATTGTTTCTGGTTACACGATGGTTTCTGTTACTAGCAGCAGCAGCATAACGCCGCCTTACCCTTACACGATTTTCCACGGACAGTCACAATCTTGGTTCGTTCATGAAGACTGGTTATATTTCTTTCCTAAAACCTAAACAGACTAGCTTCACAATTGACTTGTTAATACAAACATGTCAGTAAACCAAACAAGAGCGGGGTGTGCCCACAATGTTGCAGAACACACAAGAGTTCACAGGATGTCAAACTTGAAGAATGAAGGCTTAATAGTTCATGAGCATCACAATGACTCTGAAAAGGTGTTATGTTTTTGAAAAGTGCTCCATCTGTCTTTATAATTTACATTATTTTATCTCCCTTTCATTGAGCTTTCCATTCACATTTATTCATCAAGTGAACGTCTGCCCTTACCACTGCTTTTTTTTTTTCCTTACCGCCACTTGCATAGCCACCATGTTTTGCCATATGCCTTTATTTCAAGTGACAGAAGTGATCAGCATTTTAATATTCACGCACTGTATAGAGAAGAGATACTGGAAATCTGTTAGAAAGCTGCAACACATTCAAGGAGCTCTGATGGAGTCACTGTACTTAGGTGAGAATTTGTGCACAACTTCAGGTCTTGAGACTATTAGTAGCAGCCTCCCATAGGAGAGCAATTTATCATTATGGAACCTCAACCAATCGCACGGGGCCCCCTTGCTTCCATATCTTGTCTAAATCTCAAGAATGAGGAGATGTAGTTTTAACCACCCAGAGCTGCATCTGGATGACCAGAAGAGCATGTTGGGTTGAAAGTCATTCGTACCACAACAAGGAAGTTGGTCTCTTTCCAATTTTGTCAAAAATTCTTCAGTGATTTATTCCACCAGGATTTAAAGGAATAATGGAGTGAAGTTTTCTAAACATGTTTTCTGGATTTCATTCTTCAGCTATGTACTTCAAGAGAAGGATCTAACATTATTCCTCAAAAATAAAACTACCCTTTCACTATCTTGGAAATCTAACAAAAGCTAAAACTCACGTCTCAAAATTCTCTAATTATGCACTGCCAATAACTTGCATACAACTTTCTAATTAACTGATTTACCTAGCTGATTTTCTTTGCATAAATGCTGTGAAATCCTACTGTAATTTACTATATGTATTTACAGTACTCAACATACAATCAAAACTTAGTACCTGTAGTTTGTTGAACTGGCTATATACTTCCTGTGCTGGAGAGAGGAGCAGCTGGTAAAAGGAGCTCTGCGATTTATTAGGAAAAAAACTGGGTAAATTGGTTAAGAATATACAATACTTTGGGTGGAGAGTGTGCACAATGTTTACAGTTACAGTCAGTTGAATTTTTTTTTAAATCAACAAACTTTGAAGGTATACAAGATTTGAGTTTGTAAAAGTTCAAGATTTGCTGCAGCCTTTTCTCCAGTGCGAGTAAAAGCCTAATGAGAGCAGCAAGGATTCTCAAAATGAAGCTGCTGACAGACAACACTGGAACTTAAGAAATCCAAAAATAAAATGCAGCTGAATATAGAACCCCCGGGGATACCAGAGAATCAAAAGTGGATGAAATACACTATTCTTAAGGAGTACCTATTGCTCAAAAAGGTGACAAAAAGTAAATAAAAGCAAGAAGCATACTAGGTATAAGATTGTGTTATGAAAAAAGACATTTTAAAAAAAATTACATACTTGAATGAAATCTACAAGTAAAATGATGAAAGAACTGCAAGTTACTCAAGGCCACATAATTACAGCCTCAAAGAATTTTCTGCAGTTATCCAGCAGGTAGAAACTACCGAATTCCTCAGGTGAATGTGCCAAAAGACAGTGCATGTATCCTCATTATGAAATCAATAGCAGCATTTCTAAACAAAATGGTGCAGACGATATAATGGCACTGGTGATTATTGCCATTCTCATCAGGAACCCAGTATGGAGGTAAGCATAAAAGTGAATTGAGAGAGATTATAAAGTGCAGCACCTCATTTTCCAGGAGCAATGGTATAGGACACAGGAAGACAAGCTGATGTTCCAATAAAGGCAATGTGGGTGACCCAAATGTCTCTTGAAAGTCCAGGGCAAATAAATAGTTAGAAATATTAGAAAAGCGAGGAGGTACAAATTGTATTGTGTCTATATCCAGGGTATAAACAAGCAGGATACCATATAACAAATAAATCACTGAATTATGCATTGAATGGAACTGACTTTTGAGAGAAAAAAAACTGATAACCACAAATCAGATAGGGAAAACAAATGTGCATTAGCAAACCAAAATCAAAGTAGGAGGTTAGAAATGCAGCTAATATAAATGCAATATATGAAATCACAATCTAAACAGAATTAGCAAGAGATAAAGCTACTCTAATGGAAGATTTCCAAATGGCAGTTAGGCAGGAAACAATTGCTTCTGCTTAATGATAAAACAGCTAAGAATGAATGTAACAATTGATAGATAAAACCAATGAGGTCGAAATTAACAGGAGCAGAATAATTGGGGAAAACACTTATCAGTAGAAAGTAGTCAAGGATGTTTAAATGCTTAGGTAAATAAAAGATTCAACATAAGAAAGTTGGGCACCTTGAAGCAACGTGGACAAACCAGGAAAAATTAAAAAGGAAGGAGTGAACAGTTTAATGAGGGCAGAAAGTTATTATTTAATACAATAGAAGCACTACAGCTGGTCTATAAAATGTGTAGCATTCAGAAATCCATCAGAAATGCCTAATTACCTACAAAGCAATTAAAGACTGGTTTTACGGTGGCCACTGAATAGGTAGATTTGATACGCAAATTAAGCTTTTGCCAAGAACAACTGTATAGATTCGAAGTTAGATTAAAACATTTCCAAAATGGAGTAAGGAGGGCAAGTTAAAAATGAAACTTTGCACTAAGTTTATTCCTATGAAACATACTGGAACCCCTGCTGTAAACAGGGAGCGCTAAAGATGATAATATTTTTTAAGAGAAAGGAGAAACAAATGGAATCAAAACTATACTTCCACAAGAACGAAAAAGACGACTGGAGACAGGCGCAAAGAAAATTCAGAAGTTCTCTCCCAATTGTTAAGAAATCAGTTAGGTTTTTTAAATGAAAAAGTTTAGCAGACAGGTTAAGAAGTGATGTCAATATTAATATTTCATATCAGTCTTCATTTAAGGAAGTACTGGACAGATTCTAAGTACAATCAAATTGATTAAAAAAATTGGAATAAAAGTGGTGTAATTAACCGACTGAAGGTATTAAACTATGCACACTAGAATGACCAAAAAGCAAGCCACAAGATGCTAACTGATGTATCTAGTTGTCCAACAGCTCCATGAATATTTTAATGAGATATTAAGCTGTAATTGTATTTTTTTTAAAAGCAATAGGTTATGTCCCATAAGAATTGAATTAGGTGGAGCTGCAATTAACATTAACAGAAGTAATGTCCAGTCAAGCTTATTTGGATCTTCAAATGCCATCTTATAAAGTTAAACAGGAGAGGAGTCTGACTGCACTAAATGAACATAAATTGGCTAAGAACAGGAGTCGGTGATGATGATCTGAGAGGCATCAACAGAGATATTGAGCCAGCTGCTTTGACTTCCCTGTTATTTAAAAATGATCTGAATGCAGGATATTGCAAATGATTTAAAATTTTGTTGATAATGCCAGGGAATAGGCAGATCAGTAGTGTAAAGGAAATGGAAAGCATTCCAAAAATCTAAGTGAGTTCAAAGTGATTGTGGAAGAAAAACCAGATGGAAAATTAGAATAGGAAACACATGCTTGCATACAAAAGGAATATGCATTGAGTGACGGAAAGCAATTTAGGTGAAGAACAACTTTTCACTAAAAGGATTCAGTTAATGCAAAGCTGCTACTACATCAAACTTCTGGAAAGTAGCTCAAATAACAAAATTGAAATAGGTTATCGGAGCCCAGTGTAACTTACGATTTGATCTCACTGGGAACACTGTACATGATTTTAAACATAAAGGATATCAATGCATTGTAGAATGTTCGCAGAGCAAGATAACGTGGAGACTTGGGGCCCTAAGTTGCAAAGAGAACCGCAAATATTTCTGAAGATCGACTGATCACAAATAGTAAGGGAAAACTTAGTAATGCTGAAAGCTGAGTAAAAGATTGAAAGAAAGTATCTTTCTCTCTCTTCTCCATATTTAAAAGCAGTCAATGCAATGGCAATTAAATCTTGAAAAAGCTGGACAAATATTTAAAGAACCAATGTGAAGGTTCCAAGTGCAACAAAGACACAAGTGGAACAGTCAGCATTGAGAGGTGCATATTACATGGTTGGATTAATCCAGAGGTTTTACTTCATTACCCGTCAGGTGGGGGGGGCTGGAAGCGATGGAAAGAGAAAAAATAAAGGAAGAATAGAAGTGGGTTTGGGTAAAATTTCAGAGCTTTATCATCTTGGATTTTATCAGTCGTTGGCTGCCTCCTTCTTAAGATTGATAGGGCTGAGTGTAGTCCTGAATAGGAAAGAACGTACAAGATCTGTGGAGGGAATGGCCTTGATGGTCTGAATAGCCTTTTTCTTGTTCCACATTGCATTTTATGTATATAGCAGATTAAAGTGCTGCTTCCCTCAGACAGAAATTTATTACACAACAATTGTCAAATAGTAAAAGCAGTTAATTACCTGTAAGAAGGATTCCCACAAAGATCCAAGAACAAAGAAAAAGATTTCCAGCTAATGTGCCGTAATCAGCTTTCAACTTTCCTTGGGCCAGTGTGAACACAATTCCAAATAGCTGCAATTAAATTAAAACAAAACTCTAATGAAGTAACGGTCCAAGATTCCTCTTGAAGGAATGAACAAGTTTGCATAGAGCTCTACAATTACTCAACAATACTTCACCAAGTGATCATTATGAGTGCGCTAAATGCTGGCAAGACACTTGAAAGCCCGGAAACAATTCTCTCCTCGGGAAATCAGCCCATGTGGAGTATCAGCCAATACTGCCATACAGCAGCCAGGAACTCAAACACCAAAATGTGGTGCCCTCAGTAATCCATAATTCAACTTAATAAATAGTCATACCAAAAATTTCTATCAGAAACTACACAAATATTTAAACAATGGGAAAGAATTCATCTAGATTAAATAGCTTCCTACTAAACCCATGTCAATTCTCTTCGGACCAGCAGCATGCTGGCCATTGTTTTGGGTCATCATTTTTAATTAATTATCATGGTCAAATGCTGGGCACTGAAAATGATCTGTTACAAGTGTGGAGCTTAATAAGATTTTAAATAGTTTGATACAAAAAAAATCAAAATCTAACATAAAGCTCATTTTTATCCCCCCGTTTAATCCCATTTTCCTTTATATTGGATTAACCATTTAAAATCACCCATTCTACTGTATACATTGTATACATCCTTCTAAGTCCCTGCGCTGCTAATTTCACAATCCTTCAGTCTGACTGGTTAAGGGCACAGTTGATTACATCACTCAGATCCCAGAACTCTGGTTTTATCTTGCCATGACATTGTCATCTCAACACTTTCAACAACTTGCAGTGTGAAAGATCGATGCTGTTGACCTGGCATTGGTAAATCTAGCTAATGGCAGCCATTGCAAATTATGGATCTATGCCATTTAGCATTAAACATTAGTCCATACAGCTTGAGGGGGAGAAACTGGAATCAGTTGTAACGTTATTACAATTCAATAACGGTAGCTACAAAGACATGAGGTCAGAGTTGACTGGACAGTGGAGCAGCAATGGCATAAGTTTGAGGGTGATTCGGGAGCCACAGTAGAAATTCATCCTAAGACAAAACAACACAATAAGAGGAGGACGAGGTAACCATGGCTGACAAGGGAAGTTGTGGACAGTATCAAAGCAAAAGAAAAGGCACATAATCAGTGGAGATTAGTCAGGAGCCAGAGGACTTGAAAGCCTTTAAAAACCAGAGGACAACTAAAAACGCAATAAAGCGGGGAGGAGATAGAAACAGGAGTGCAAGATAGTTAGTAACATAAAAGAAGATTGCAAGACATTTTCAGACATATAAAAAGGTAAGAGAGAGGCAAGAGTGAACATTGGGCCACTAGAAAATATGAGGCTGGAGAAGTAGTAAGGGGGAATACACCAGTGGCATACCAGAATTTAAAGGGAGTCAGGGAGCAGAGGTGAGTGCAGTGACCATTGCTAAGGAGAAGGGGAAGCTGAAAGGTCTGACAGGTGGACAAATGCTAGACTAGATGGACTACACACCAGAGTTCTGAAGGAGTTAGCTGAGGAGACTGTGCAAGCATTGGCAGTGATCTTTCAGAAATCAATGGAGTCAGAGAGCGTCCCACAGGACTGAAAAATGACTAATGAAACACCATTGTATAAGAAGTGCAGCAGGAAGAATATAGAAATTATAGGCTGGTTAGGCTGACCTTGCTCATTTGTAAGATTTGACAGTTCATTATTAAGGATGAGATTGCGGAGTATTGCAAGTGCCTGGTAAAAATCAGGCTGAGTAAATACAGCTTTGGTCGAGGGGAAGTCATGCCTGACAAATCTATTATAATTCGTTGAGGTGTTAACGAGCAAGTTAGACAAAGGTGAGTGAATGGACATGATCTATCTGGATTTCCCAAAGGTTTTTGTCAAGGTGCCACACAAGAGACAGCTCAACACGATAAGAGCCCTTCGTACTAGGGACAAGGTACTGGCATGGATAGAGGATTGGCTGATTGACAAAAGGCAGACAGCAGGGATAAAAGGATGTTTTACAGGACGGCAGCCGGTGACCAGTGAAGGTCCACAGGAGTTAGGGTTGGCATCTGTATGAAGGAACTGAGGGTGCTGTTGCTAAGTCTGCACATGACACACAAAGATGGAAGGACAGGTAGCACTGAGGTAGCAGGGAGGCTGCAGAAGGACTTGGACAGACTAGAAAAGTGGGTAAAGAAATTGCAGATGGGAATATAATCTGGGAAAGTGTGAAGTTATGCACTTTGGTAGGAAGAATAGGTATAAAGTGTTTTCTAAATGGGGAAAGGCTTCGGAAATCTGAAATAAAAAGGGGCTTGGGAGTACTAGTTCAAGATTCTCTTAAGGTTGACATGCCGGTTCGGTCGGCAGTTAGGAATGCGAATGTAATGTTAGCATTCTATTCAAGAGGGCTTAACTTCATGAACAGAAGTGTACTGCTGAAACTGTAGACGGCTCTGGTCAGGCCACAATTGGAATATCATATGCAGCTTTGGGTCCCATATTTAAGGAAGGATGTGCTGGCACTAAAGGGGATCCAGAGGCCTGAATAGAATAAACACGGGAAGATGCAGGAGAGACTAGGACCCAAGGGTACAGCCTCAGAGAGACTACCCTTTAGAACAGAGATGAGGTTTTTTGCAGCCTGAGGCTGGTTAATCTGTGGAACTCATTGTGGTAGCAGAGATTAAGTCGTTGAGTGTATTTAAGACAGAGATAGATAAGGCTCTTGATTAATAAAGGATCAAGAGTTATGGGAGAAGGCAGGAGAATGAGGTTGAGAAATAGATCAGTCATAATCGAATTATGAAGCAAACTCAATGAGCCGAATTGCCTAATTCTGCTCTTATATCTTAAGGTTTTATGATCAAGACAGAGCAAAATATGCTTAAATTTGCATACTTAAAATTTAGGTCTAGTATACTTTTACTTGATGAAAGAAACTTATTTTAAGTGTTAGTGTCAGATCACAACATTCAGTATTTAAATAAACAAATGACTAGAAAGCATAGATGATTACACATTCATCATCTTCTTTACCAAATGACAATGTTCCTATCTAACTTGAGAAATATTGATATTATCGATCTCTCCTCCTCCAAATCATAACCTACCATCCAATCTCTTACCTGTGCAGATGCATTGAGAAGTCCAGATGATGTCCCCTCTGGTTCTGGGTAAGTTATTTCTACACCAAACTCAAATCCCAATGGAAGATAACCAGTCATGAAAAAACTGAAAATATAAAAACGTATTTAGTCACTTTGCATAAAAAACACAGCAAATAACCAACTGTAAAAAGCATTTTTGAATCCTTTGGTGACTGAACTTTCAAACAGTCCAGTTCTAATTTCAGCTGTGAAACATTGAGTAAATACAAATCATTTTATTCATATACATAAATACTTCCAAACACTTTAAAAAGATTCAGATACTTACAATAATCTAATGGTAATGAAAATATTTATTTTGACTTCAATACTTAGCAAATGCAAGTTCTTTCATTGAAAGAAATTTTAAGAATTAAAAAGCTAGATCTGGCATTGAAATACTAAGTTACTTTCCCAGGTTATTCAAATTAACCCCCAAGTGTTGCATCTGTACTATATATAGATTGCCAGATCACTTTAGCTGTTAGAACTACAAGTATACGTTATCCATGTTCATCTAGAAACTCGAGCCCACAATAACTTGTGGACTAAAGATCTTAATACAAACATTTGGAAACCATTCTTTAAAATGGAAGCATAATGTACTTATCTTAGATTTTGCTTCAAACTAGAAACAACAAACAATTTTTACTACACATTCAAACTACATGCCTTTCCTCCTGTTTATGTGGCAAATATTTACTATAGTTAAACTTTAGTTGTTTGCATTAAATTGTTAGCATTCCTCTGGATTGTTTGTACTAAACTTCTTCCACGCATTATCTAATAAATATAAAAGGTAATTTTGGGTATTGTTGAAAAATATGGTCGAAGATTTTCATCACACAACTCAACTAAGTACTAGATGAAACACTTCTACCTATGTGCATTTTCTCAAATCCTGCACTATCAAATGACATGAAATCATAATTTTCAAATCTTACTCAAGGAAAAGGTAAAAATTTATCTTCCAACACTGCACTTCACATCTGCAGTACAACAGGCAGCCAAATTTAACTGGTAGTTAATGAGGAAAAACTCATTAAATAAACAGATACCCACGAATCATTCCTCCCCTCATCACCAAATGCTTCCAGAGTTTCTAAAATAGTTCTCAAATTAAGTCAATGATAAGCAGGCAAAACTGAAATGGTACAGTCAAAATGCCTTTTTATTTAGGGCAAAGCTATAAACAAAGGAGCTTAGCTTGGATTTAATCACAAACCTAGCTAGATAAGGATGAGGACTGAAGATCGGCACTGGAGCTTGATGGGGGGGTGAGGGTGTTGGGCTGGGGGAATTGCATTTCAACCCTATTAATGTATCAACTGTACCATCAACATTTCCTGGGTTGCATCCCTAGTTAATGGCATCAGTTGAGGAGTTATTTTCTCATGTTTGAAACTGAAGTTTGGGTCAGATCAATTTACCCTGGCTATCCTACACCGGTTTCAAGCATTAATGCCATTAGGATTAATATTTGGATGAATAAAGGTGCAACATAAGTCAGCTACACAAGTGTACAACTCTTAAAATTACTACAACCAACAGAAACATCAATACTGCTCTGCAGAGTGTAAAAAAAAAAGTACATAACATTTGTAGCAATGCATTGCTACAAAGAAAATTTAGTTGCTTGGGAAGGGGCATGCTAAATTACAGCAAAGGTAATGGATTTGACTCTGATAAAATAAAACTTTTAAATACTAAAATCTATATTATGTATTATGTTGTTGATACTACTAAATTCATGCATATACAACTCCAACTTTTTGTGGGTACAATGGTATATTAAGCACAAATGTGAAGTTCTCAATGTCAAGACTTTTACTGGCGTACTCTACAAGAGTCCCCCAAGTTCTACTAGAAAAAGTAGTGATTATTTTAATAAACTGCATATGTGCTAGTTATTGCACACATGAATCATGCTATGCACTACAGATTCTGTCAGAACTGTAACACAGGGGTCACAAAATGGCTCAGGACAGTTGAACTAATAAACAAACTGGCTTTAAAAAAAAAAGAAGTGATCTCTGACCCCCTTCGCTTTTTGGGCACGTACTGAAGTGACAGCTTCCAGTGAATCATCTTTTTCACTTGCGGGTTTATAGTCATCGAGACGACCAAACTGTGTGCTTATTCAGCTGTTGTTCACCACTAAAAATTGGGCACCACATGAAGGAAAAGGTTGGAAAACTGATAGTCAGTTCATAATTCAACAGTGCAATTAACTAATTGTACATCATATGGTATTTTAGACATGTCATATTAAATATAGATTACACTAAAGTGAGTGCAAAACAAATCTATTCAATCTACATTTCACTGAATAGTCAGTAACGTTAGTAAGTTTAGTGACTTAGCGATCAAAAGCGATAAACAAAATAATCATGGCAAGCCACAGTAGAGGGAATAGAGATAATTAAGTGAGCATCTCATTCATTTCATAAGTGAACACAGACTAGCAAAAACACTACTATGTCTGCAACGATAACTTGTATTTAAATTCTGAAGTGGAAAAGAACAAATTTTTAAACATGTTAATAGAACATCAACCATTTTAAACAGAACATTTTTATATTATAGTGTCCTGGAGCTTGAGCGAAAACCCTTACAGCTGTCTGGAAGAGTTCAACTGCTCCAGTGCACGCAGCTTTCAATATATGTGCGCTATGGACACAATTCAGTATATTCGGTATGCTCACCTCAGAATGAGAAGGTCAAACCTTCTCAACAGTTCAAAGCTAGGGTAGGAATTATTCCACTCAGCTCTGAGAATTATCTTTCAACCTGTATGGCATAGATTTTCCTTAACTAAAGGTGGGTGACCACCTCTTCCCAAGCTTTTGTTAATAGTGCTCTTGAACCAGCTCTTTGGAGGTGTGCAGTTGACTTCCCTCCCTTGCTCTGGGGAAGTATCTCCCCTAGACTAACTGGTTGAGATCAAGAACTCACCATACAAGGAATCGCGCGGTGAACCCATGTCCATTACTCTGTGGCGCAACATGTTAGTACACCACTGGGCCACCTACAAACATTTTAAAAAACATTATGTCCCTAACAAGTATTAAAGAACAATAAAAAGCGGATACATTGTCACAAATAAAATTGATAAAGATTCCGTTACATCTCAATGGAGGGTTCAATGGACAAGCTCATTTATTGCATTTTATTGCCTGGACTGATTAACTTGTATACATGAAACTAAACTCACTGACAAGCAATTAAGAATATTCCTGAAATGTTTCTATTTTTCAGCCTGAATACAATGTAAAAAAAAAGGATGGTCCGTATTTCACGCAAAAAACCAAAATATTATAAGCGTTGGGATGCTGTGTGACTGTGTCAGTTACACTGTAAATTTAAATTGTTGAGGGTCATAATAGGAGTTGCATATAATTTCTAAATGCAGAACTATAAAAAAAAACTTTGTTTATTAAAATATGCTGATTAAAAAAGGGTTAGAAAATTTCTAATCACGATTCCAAACTCTATTTTATTCTAATATCCCAATTAAGTGTTTTAAAGGCTTTTAGTCAAGACATAATAGTCACTCAGGAGCATGCAGAGAAGGAAGAGTTGCTGGCAGTTTTGAGACTGCACTTGCTGAGACTCTGAATCAGCACCTCAAAGATAAATTATTCCATTCCCAAAATACATTTGCACCTTCCAAAACTTACCAACTTGAACTCTCAACATTTAAAGGAATGAAGTTGTAAAAGTCACCTAATTGTCAACACGTACTCATTCAATACAAATACCATTCAGTAATAAATTAATATCAAGTCAGAGACATCAGACTCCCCTGATGACTCAGCAGGTTTATTTAGTGATTCGTTTAAACAAACCACGAAGTTCCTGTGTTTTGATCTTCAGTCTGTGTCATGTTAGCTAATAGAGATACAGACAATGGGATGGAACCTACTACTGTGGCGTGGAAGGGGGTGAAAAATAATTCTAACTACTATCCAGTGTGCAGATAACATGTCAGAACAGGCAGGACTGAAATGTGATATCCGCTGAAGAATACCTTGATGATGTGCAAACCTTGATACTGATTATCAGGTTGAGACTATGCCTTAGCAAGGAGCTATTAACCAGAGGAGGGAGGAATGTTGACAAGGAAAAAAATTACCAAAAAAGTTTTACAAATTTTCATGTGATTAAATACTGCATTTTAAAAGTTTAAATTAATCCAGCTGCAAAGCTAACACCATTTAAGAATTAATTTAATCTGAATTATATATAGATTCAAAAAAAAACTCCAATAAATAACATTAATAAACACTTTCAGTGCAACAGCATAAAGATACAGACAAAACTCATTAACTGATTCCTTTATCTATTCAGTTGAGGTATAAAATGGTCTCTTACCCCAAGGCTCCTGCTGTGACAAAGACAATTTGGATGTAACCAAGATTTAATGTGAAGGTGAAAACGAGCATTCCAATAAATGAGATAATGTAGACTGAGAGAGTAGTCTGCCTGCAAGCGAGAAACCAAGGACAAGAATTACAAAAGGTAGAATTCCCATTCAATATTTATATTAATACATTAGTTCTGGACTACTGGGAAAGACATGCATATATTTAACGAATGAAGATACAGGGTTGCTAAAAACAAATTTCTAGAAAAATTCAGAATTCTTCTAGTAGATTTTGAAATAAGACACTGGCTCAGAATTTGCTGGAGCGTGCCCTGTTAGTTAATACATTTTCCTTGCCTCCAACTCAAAAAATCTGTGTTGCAAATTGCTTAAGTTCAAGCTGATAACAGGTAAGCTGGAATCCTGGTGAACGATGGGACCAACAGTTTATGTACTTAACCAATATGATTTAAGGACAGAAAACGAAACAAGAAAGACAGAAGGAAGTAAGGTAGATTAGACACAGAAAGAGAAATAAGAAGAAGGGAAGAAAAATGAGATTGAGAGAAAGAGAGAAAGGGTAAAGTGAGGGTTTCCCCAAAAAAAAACTTGTGAATAAAAAACTGCCTACAGGAATCAGTTTTCATTATCGCAATTGTTCCTCTTCTGGGTCACAGAGATTTAGCGGCAATGCAGCATCATTAATGTAGTAGTTATAAACATCCTAGTATCTGGAAAGTACCATCTCCAACTTTGTGGTGAGAGTAATTGGTCATTAATGTGTAAATGCAGGATTTTCCTGAAACTCTTGGAAGATATTTGTGGCAAGCTGCAATTCTCATCGTAAGTACAGGACAATTTACAAACTAATAATGGCATGCACCTTAAAATTCACAGATTTTCCCAGCAAATTCTGGGCCACTGGTTCATGCCAAATTAGGTACATATAAGCAGACAGATTTCTATTAGGGTTGATACAATAAGTGTTTTTAAAAATTCCATACCTTCCACTGAAATGCTAAACACAACTGGCTGAAGAGTTGTTTCATATCAGAACGTTTTCACTATTGCCCACTAATTGACGTCAGTGAGTAATAGTCTTCAGTGACTGATGTTAGCAGACAATAGAACAGACACTGCTGCCCACTGTCACAAAGCACAGGCAAAAAGGGTTACAAAGTTCCCCATTTTGTAAAATAAATTTAAAGCCTACAGATGTAATAAAAACACAGAGTTTGGGCTACTAAAACAAGCTTAACTCATTTTTGCTAAAGTGATCAAGTGTGCAATAACTTGTTCAAGCTGTTTTAAGCTCAACATTTTACCCCAGAGCTCTCCAGTGGAGTAAAGATTTATACATCTACATACTAATTTGTGAGAATATCCAGATTCCTAGCCAACATTCTTCCTTTCCCAAATTATAAAGTGCAACTAATTATTTGTTGTCTGTTACTAACACAAAAGATTTGTCCAACCAGAAGGTCCAAATGTAATTACAATACAACAAGGCCTATTTAAGAGCAAATACAGATAAAAGCAAATCAATAAGATGAATTGTCATTCTTGGAAATGAAGTGTGCATGCTTCACTTAAACAGCACCTTGAAAAAGGACCTACAGTACCAGGTTTAATTTTAGAAACCAGACACCAGGAAATATATATCATGCTTAGAGGTTATAGTGCAGATTCATCAGAAGGACACCACAGTTTAAATTATAAAGACATGTAACATAATCTTGATTTACATTCACTTGGGTTTGATAGTGGTGTTTTAAATTATATAACTCAACTTCTACCAGTGGGAGAAGTACAAAACAATGGGTCATCATCTTAAAATTTAGCAAAGCCTTTCAAGGTGAAATACTTTCCCCAAACAGTGAGTAGTAAAAACATGGGAATGTTCACAAAAAAAACCTATTGATGCTGAGACAATTGAAATTTTAGACAAAAATGAATACAGTTTAGAAATAGGAAGAGGCTGGAAAATTCAGCAAATAAATCATCAGTGCAAACAGAAAGAGAGTTAATGTCTGCAGTCAATTTCCAATGAAGAGCACTTCTGGTGTGTTTAAAATTTCCAGTTTGGACTGTATTCTGCTTCTAGATTAATTCAGAGATTTTTGTTTGGCTTCAAAGAATATGGCCCAATGGTGACAAGATAAATCAGGCAGTCTTACAGAACAACAGACCAGCCTTAAGAGAATGAATGACACATACTATAACACAGACCCGTCTCTCATCAAAAACTGTGGACATTCAAGGGATCTGGTCTGCAGCCACCTGAAATCTATTTCACAGATAGATGTTACAGTGCAAGCTCATATCAAACATAACATTTGAAGTAACTTACCAAATTAACAGGTGTACTAATGTCAGTTTTAACTGAACCTTAAAACACTTGCAAAATATATTCAGGTTTTAGAAAAGGGGCTTTCAGATACCAGTTAACAATTAGAACTGCAATTAATAGCCAATTATTCATTCAGTAGGTTATAGCAAATTTGGATTTTGGAGTTGGGCACGAATATTCAGATTGCTACAAGACAACATTAAGAATTTAGACATGAGGTGTAAAGGTCATTGGTCAAGCACATCAACATCAAGGATTTAATACAGAAATTCTATAAACAAATCCGGCCATTTTTCTTGCATTTCTAGAATCTTTTACATTTGGATGTCAGTTGACCTTTGTTTACTATTGTCATTTTTTGTTATTCTCATATTCTAGTTAAGCAATCCTTTTGGAATATCAGGCATTATACTGCAGAATAGTTGGATAACTGAGGAATTGGTTATTGAAATTCAGTTCAAACAGCAGGCTGTCCAGTTGCCTATGCAGCAAAAAAATTGACATTGTTATGCAGATATCTAGAACACCCAAAAGATGTCTTAGAGAATAATTTAAGCAAAGAACTAAAAACAGCTTTTGCAAAAGAAAAAGAAACAGGAAAAAAGAAAAAAAATACTAAATAATTATAGAGATCTAACCATAAAGGTTGGAGGATAAGGTTTTTTTTCCCAATCCATTACTGCTAAAAGTAGTGAAGTGTGTAGAGAGGAGAGAGAAAAGAAGGAGAAAGAAACACATTACAGGGAAATATATTTACATTCTAAAAAACATGCATATATTACCACAAAGAGAAATGAAAGCAGAACATTGTTATTTTCTTGAGGTATTTATACATTATAATTATTGAAATCACATTGAGAATAAGAAATCTAATTAACTCAAGCCTTCATATATAGATATAGATTAAATGTGTTTGGGTAGCATGCCTCAACATAGTTGGCTTAGCGAGAAATTTAGGTGCTGATGCTAACCATAGCTTTTTACATGATAGAGCTCTTCTTAGACCTAGTGGTATGATACCTTTTCCTTCAATAAGCACAAGCAAACTATGTTCAGATTGGTAGAAGCAAACAAAGTCAAGCCTGAAAAGCGGGACTTAAATCAAGAACTTTCAAAAACAGGCTAAGTCATTATCAGATTTAGTATGATTTCTAGAATCATCATATTCAATGTTTTACAGAACTGTCCTACAGCAAACAAGCGGAAAGAAGTAATAAGCAAATTTGAATTCTTCTCGCACTTACACTGACTGCAGTGAGTGCTGAAAATGGTTATACTCACTTGTATGTCTTTGTACGGTCCACCCAGAGACCAGAGATGATGGAACCTACCATCCCTGATACCACTAAAGTCAGTCCAATTCTGCCAGCATTTAATTCTTCACCCTTGCAACAAAAGCAAAATTCAAATTGAAATACAAAATGTTGCCTTCCTGTCTAACAGAATGCTAACAAACATTCCATGCTGCTCTGCTAGCAATTATCAGGCATAAACTCAGAAACAATCCAATATGAAGTAAGCCAATTTTCGCTTTCCTTCATGAACTAGTTTTACACCTGTGAAAACATACAATATAGGTGGTAGCAAAATGATACTATACGCAAGATAAATATAAATTAACGTGTTAAAATAGAATGAATGTTGGAAAAATAACATTAATGTGCAACTACAAATCATGAGGAATCAATACAGCCCTGAAAAGTAAATCAGCATGGATTTGTTTTACTAAAGAGTCAATGAACAGAAACAGCGCAGGAACAGAAGGCAACTACGTTAGAGTGAAGTGACTACGTGGAATCCATTGATAAAATTTTGCATCGTCAGCGAGGGGAAAAAAACCCCTAAAAACTATGCATGACTGGATAGAACTGAGTTTACGTGTTATTTAGTTAGTAGCTGCCTTAACAACTTTATGCCGATGCATTTTTAAAATATACAAGGTATTAAAATACTAATACAATTAAAAATGCTTTCAAATACCTACAAATACGTCAGTTTTAAAGATAAAATATTAAGGAAAATAGACAATGAATTTTGGTCAAGTAAGCATGGATTTTACTAGTGAAAATAGATAATATTTCACAAGTAAAACTGTTAAGTTAGGATGAATTGGAGATTGTACTTTATATATGAAATTTTACTTTGCTTGACAATTACTAACTTACCTCATAGTAAGTAATGATCATCTGATTTAATAGTGTTCCTACAGAGTAATAGGAGCCTGTCAGAATACCTAGAAGAGATTAAAAACTTTTAATAGCTCAGCTCAGCTGACAGCAATACATTTCTTAAAATTAACCATTTTATTCAAAGTTTTATTCCACTGTAGACCTACCCTGCCTGTTTATATTCTCAGGCCGGAGGTGAAACCTATCTAAAAGTCTTAGATTAATCCTATGCTCATCGTGTCCATCTAATACAGTGATAGTCAATATATGCTAAACTATATAGTCAAAACTGTACAGTACAATTCATAATCAAACTATAAACAAAATCTCAAATTTTCCAGAGTATGCCATTAACTAAACCATTCCAACCAGAAGTTCCATGAACTGTCTTTGAATTGAATTAAAGCAATATCAGTGCAAACCCTAATTTAAACAATCTTAAACTTCAATTTCTGCTTGCCACTGAGGTGATCCTGTGTAGCACTCTGAAATACATTATGCAAAACAGAATCAGGGTCAGCTACAAAACAATTCACTATTGCATGGAGCTACTAATGTTACGTTGTATTGGCTTTCACAACAACGGCAAGGTAACAGTGAACTGAAAAAACCCTCAATTTCTACTCCAACAAGAGTAACCATTCACAGTAAACCAGAGTGGAGGATTGACTTGAAGGGAAATAGGTTCATCCTGATTTAAAGATTTCAAACAAGTCCAAAAAAATCAAATTAAGGTAAAACCATTCAAAATGGAAGTTTGTTCTCACAGAATCCCTACAGTGTGGAAACAGGCCCTTTGGTCCAACAAGTACACAATCATCCTTAGAGCATCCCATCCAGACCCATCCCACTATAATCCACCTAATGTGCACATCCCTGAATACTATGGGCAATTTAGCATGGCCAATCCACCTAGCCTGCACATCTTTGGACTGTGGGAGGAATCCCACGCAGACATGGGGAGAATCTGCAAACTCCACACAGAGTGGCCCGAGGGTGGAATCGAACCCTAGTCCCTGGTGCTGTGAGGCAGCAGTGCTAACCACTGTGCGTCCCCGTGTTCTATGTATGATATTTGGCCAAACTAATCAACTGCTGATGAATTAAGTTGACAAAGCAAAACTGGGACAGAAGTTTGAACTCAGGACTGAGTTGTGGGTATGATAGCAAAATGAAAAATTAATCAGGAGTATTTTGCTATAAGCTCATGGTTGTACTACAGCACTTCAGCAATTTTTGTGTCAATGAATTTTGAATTTGCATAGAAAGCTACTGTCAATATATGATTATAAAACCCAAACCTGTAAACCTAGAGAAAATCCTGAACATTCACTCTGACAGTTTTGAAGGACATTCAACAGATTTAAGGTCAAGTACTAAACAAAGAATGGGAGTGAAAAGAAATAAATGTATAGTATCTCAAAACTAAAATCCAAATTAGAGTTATTGACTTACTCACCATAACTTAGTAGTAGTAGCACAAATGGAACATTCTTGAACAAGTTTACAATTGACTGTTTGTAAGAATAGTCATTAGGAGTGTCCAGAAGCACAGCTTGAGACTGACTTGGAGGAAGTGGAGGCTTTTCCTTGAATACTATTTAGAAAAAAAAATCAAATATCTAAGCACAGGAGGGCAAATTTCAGTTTACCAAAACCAAAAACTAAACCGAGAATTGTATACTGCCTCAGTTAACAGCATTACAAGAATCCAAGATATAAGGAAGATGGAGAGAAAAAGTAGATACTGTGGCAAAAGTCAGGAAGAAAGTATAAAGAAAAAAAACGGCAAAACATTACTAGGGGGAATAAAACCCCATCTTAATTCTGGAGTGTCAAACTTCTAGGCTCTTGCAGCACAGCACTGCTATGTATTTTCTTAAACTTCCATCAAAGCAAGACATTTTCCATTTATAATCCAATCTTCAGAATCTATCCAACACATGGGGAGGACAAGGGGGAAAGGAAAAGAGACAGAGAAGGTTCAAGGAGTAGAGGCAGAACCAAGACAATCTAAACCAGAAACTACCTATCGTTAAGGTTTATTAATAATTTAGCCTAATTAGAAAAGTAAAATATACCATGTATGCAGGCCAGGGTATGGGCACTTGTTTCTAAGTTACCTTCTGCATACTGTGGAGCCTTTTCAATAATCCATTTTTTCCCCCCTAATTGTTTGGACTTCTCATTACAAAACCAGTTACAGATATCCTCCTATTGCTAGGCACGGATAAACTTGCCCGACATTGGATCCAAACCTAATTTAACAGTCCAGGATCACAACCAGTTCAAATTATAAATTAAAATCCTGATTGGAAGGATTAATACCTATCTTTTCATCAGTATTTTTATTCAGATTAAAGGGGATTGGATAACTACTGAAAAGTAAAACTTGCAGACCTACCAGCAAAGTGTGCTTGAGTGAAATTATTTGCATAGCTTCTTCAGATCCAACATTAGCATGATGGGCCAAATGGCCTCTTCTCATCTTGCATGACTCTATATTCTATAACTAAAGAATCTTTTAATCCTCATGGTAAGCCAACAAAAGGCATGAATTAGGTAAAATGGATGTATTTATTAGCTACTGGGCAACCAATTGAACTAAGATTCACAGTTTCCAAATGAGAATACAGATTCAAGAGTACAAGCACAATGCAAGAGAGCCATACCACACAGAGCCCATTTCAAATAGATTCTGATCAGGCAACAATATTTCAGCTTGATGACCACTTACAAATTGATTTTTTTTAAAAAAAGGAAATTTACTTTTGTTTTAAACTCCCCATCCTTTGGAAAGTGGGCATTTGTTCCCTAATTATCCCCTATTACATGACAGTTGCATCTTGGATAATTTCTTTGAATTCATGTCTCACAAGAAACAATCTATTCTACAACAGCCTGACCTAGTCAACCTAAACTAAATAAGCTATGCTATGCACTAACTTGCTCATTTAGGCAAGGTTTCCACGAAGAAGTATGATAGAGTTTAGCTTCACTGCAAATCCACTTCACTTTAATGTGGTCAAAATGACCTTAAAACATTTTGTATCACTCTAGAAACAAAGCATTATGTTTTGCAGTTCTAGTATCACATCCACAGTAGTTTTGAAAGTTTACCAAATGCTGTCCTAAGTGACCTGTTGTAATGGGTAACTTGTACGTTGCCAAGTCAAGCTTGCTGAACCAAAGTTTGGTAAGAAATTGCATGGTTTTAGAGTGTTATGCCAAGCAAAGTCTATTAACTAATGCATTTAGGTGCTGACTCTAATGTTTGTTTTCTAGTGTAAAGAAATTAAGTGTTCCTACTCGCTGATGCATTTTATTCATATGCAAAAGCCTGTGGATGCATGCTTTCACATACTAGCCATGAATACAAACAGAATTCACATTTCTTAGAAAAAAAAATAAACTTACCTGCTACAACCATGAAGAAGAGCACTGTGGCTACTGCTGCTGTCCCATAGAACAATATACTTATATTTTTTGCCATAACGTTAAGATCGTCTCTAGTATTAGGCACCAAAATTGGAGGTAAAAGAAATCCAAAAGCCACACCCAACTGTGAAATAAAGAAACAATTCGAATATGAAAACAAGACATTTGTTATATTGAAATAACTGCAATTTATATTAATAATCATTAATAATCATAGATAATCATGCAACAGTATTTCAAAGCTCCAAACTCTCTCGAGTTATGTACAAATGTAAGACTTGGAAGCAGGAATATGTCAAGTCACTCCCTCTAGCCTGCACTACCATTTAATGAGATGATATTTGAGTTGATTGTGGCTTCAAATCACATATTCCCACCTATCCCAATAAATCTTTCTCTAACAGGAAATGCTTGCCTCTCGAGGATTGAGGAAATGAGAATGTTCTGAAAGTTCTATTGGAGGTTGGCAGATCAAGATTAAGGTATACATTGCCATGGAGTTCTCTCTGCACTCCAACCTAGATAAACTATAATCTAGATGCAAATTAATTACAGAGCTTTAAAGATGGGGAGTTTTGGTCATGAAAGGGCTAACTGCACAACTACGACATTTATTTTTCCTTTCTTTTTAACTTTTATGACAATCAATTAGACCTGCAGCTGAATGTATTTCCATCTATAAATATACCTCGCACTCCATGCACACAAATATGTTCCATTGGGAGGGTGGGAGATATTGCGGCATTATGAGATTTATGATAGCCTGGCTTTGAATTATTAAGTTTCACTTGAAAACAAAATCAATGACTGACAGGACAGCAATTATAAAGGCGCAATAACAATAACATAGCCCAAGATCTATTTGAAGCTTAGCTTTGCTAAAACTGTGGCCTATGATCGCTTGGTGTTGCACCTGTACTCAAGTATTCATTCAAAACATCCTAATCAGTGAGGCCACAGCTAATATTCAGTATTATTTCATATTCAGTCATTTCCTTAGTTGTCATTATCCCAAACAAAACTGAAGCTCTCACTTTCTCCAAGTAGCTTGAATATTAGCAACCCTTTGCACATGTGTATTACAATTGAAAATTCAAATGACTGAGTAATACCATCAGTCCCATTACTCCATAGTGAAATATTTCAAAAGGCTGCCACATGAGCAAGAAATGGAAGGAAACTGTGGCACAGATAAATTTGAAATCAAAAATAGTAAGATCTAATGTGCAAATGTTTAAAATAATTGAGCAGTGATCGAGGCATTTAACCTCCATTTTTTGCCACTTGTGCCCCAGACAAAGACATTGTGGTCCTCTAGATCATATAGTACAGTAGTCATATTTCTGAACAACTGATGAAAGCTGCAAGGATGTCGGTACTAACCCTTTAAATCGAATTGTTCTCAGTTGAGCTATCTATTGTCAAATAACTTAAAGGTCTACTGAACGATGGCTTCAGCAGGATACCAGAGGACAACTGGTACTTGTGGATTAACACTCAGTTGGCTGTTAACTAACTTCAGCGCTAACCTACAAGCACCAAGTTGCATACCTTCTTTATGGGATGTAATGTGCCACAACAGTTAGCACTTAATGGCAACTTCTAATTGCACTCAAGAAGGAGGAGAGAAACCTAATAAGTCCTTTCGGTGACTGCAAATAAAGTAGAATTCAAAAGAGAGGACAGACATTTACGTTCAAGTGCCCTAAAAAGCAAAGAGAAAAAATAGGATTGGGAAAACTTCATCTGGAAGTGACAAGATCTATTGAGAGATTTCTGCTAAAAAGCTCAATTGAAATAGCCAGTGATTAGAGCAGCAGTGGAAAAGTCTATAATGGCATATGAGCCTGGGCACAAAGTTCCCACTGCTGAGTAGGTAGTGACAGTGGCTGGGTATTGCACCATATCAACATTGAAAATAATCTTACGACAACCTTTGGAAGAAGATCCAGGTTGTCAAAATTCCAGTGATTAGAGGATAATCAAGTTAGGTCACATTTTGATCTGTCATTTGCAGTGAGATCTTCTCTCCTACCTACAGCTCAGCAGAGCCCACAGACTTGTAAATTGTTTTTGGAGGAAAGGGAGAATGCACATCTGGCACTGACACCTCCACATTGCTCCATGGCTGCATTTTATTCTCTAATTTGCACCAGATAAACAGCAATCCTTCTCTATCACCCTCTCTTCACATCTATGCTCATTTTATCTGCACCGCTGTTCAAGTTGATCTTATAGTTAGTCCCCTCAGTTCGGGGGCAAAAATAGGGAATTATTATTTTCCTTTTCTGGAAAAAGGAAATTCTTCTGGAACATTTGTGCAGGCAATACCCCTTGAGTGAATGTAACTTGACTATTTCTTCTTTAAGATTTAATTGGAGCCTCATTTTATAAACAAAAAATATATTTTAAAAGGCCACATTTATTGTTTCCCAGTGTTTTTACAAAGTCTGACAACTGTGTGTTGATCCCCTCGACGTCAATCCCAAAAAAATTGGACTTTTCAAAAAAAAAAAGGGCATTGACAAGTTTGCATGATTGTAAGTGGGTTAAAAAAAACTAAAACTCTGGAATGAAGTACAGGTCGTTTGTATTGAATTCACAAGAACATCTAATTCAAATGGGATTAAATTTATACATATGAAGGTATAATAATCTGTACATTTACCTATATACCTCTGATGTTATTGGTGTAGATATACGTTCTATTTGAAGCAGAATGGCCAACAAAAACAGGCCAGAGCCAGTGGATGTGCCTCGGATGTGGTTAGATTGCAGGTTTCTCACTCAAATTGATGGGAGGGTGCATTAATGAACTCAGGTAATTTTGGGTTTTCAGACGTGCAATTAGAGCATACCTGACCTGCATGATGTTGAATAAATGAACTGGCTTAAGATTTCCAGAAGACATTTGATAAGATACACAAAAGTATTTGCAACAATGTTTACAGTGTAAAGGGTAACGTAGTGGTGTGAATAGATGATTAGCTGGCCAACAATGATCAGCATAGGCATAAATTGATCATTTTCAGGTTGACAAAACATTACAAGTGATGTGCTGCAGCGGTCAGCGTCACGGCCTCAACTTCCGACATTTTGTATAAATGGGATGAGGGAACCAAAGCTAAATTTGCTGATGGCAAAGATAATGAGGAAAATAAGTTGGGGAAAGGATAAAGTCAAGGTAAAGATGCGGCAACTTTGAGTTAAAACATGGGAAATTGTGAATTTTTCATTTTAGCAGGAAGAATAAAAAAGCAGCATATTATCTCAATGGCTAGAGATTGCCGAGCTCCAAGTTAGAAGGATCTGGATTTCTAGTGCAAGATTTGCAAAAACTGTATTATGCAGGTACAGCAAATAATTAGGGGGAAAAAAAAATCAAAATGTTAGCATTTGTGAGAATTGAATCGAACAGTAGGAGGTTGCACTTCAGTTATACAAGGCATTGGCTAGACTACATCTGGGGTACCGCTGTAAATGCACTGGAAGCGGTTCAAAGGTTCACCAATCTCTGTCTTGACAAGTTCACAGACAGGATTGGTTTCTCTTTCAGTAGATCTTAGACTTAGGGCGACTCTTTAGTATGCAGTCTTGTGCTTCAGAAAGACACTTCAATAATAAAGAGTACAGTGTGCCTGGTTCCACTCATGACATGATCTTCGCATATCCTCATTGAACTGCATTGGGCCTCCTGACTTAATGGTAATGGAAGATTGGGTGATATGTTTAGCTAAGATTACAGATTGTGGAAGAGAGATTTTGTGCTGATCACCCGCAGAATCTCAGAGACGTCCAGCTTCAAATAGCTGCATTCTAAATTTTTCCCCACTTTGCAATAGTGCAATACAACACAACAAAAGATGCCTCATTCTGCAGATGCAGTATAGTTTCCAAAAGGTCACTGCAGTGGTCTCTCTGGGCAAATGCATCTGCAATAGGTATACAGATGAGGAGGTGGTAAAGTATTCTAACCACCTGCTGCAATTCCAGTCTAGCAGCTATGACTTTCAAAACTTGGGTCAGCAGTGCTGCTTCCAAGGTATTCTTGATCATGGACATTAATTACCCTAAACTCGGTACCTCTTCAGCCTTTGATACCTCAATGCTTCTCCATTTTGAGCACAACTTGGAGGTGGTACTTAGTGAAGAATATAGGAGGCAATAACAGGAGGTGGCCTGAACAAAAACAAAGCACCTCAAAAAAACTCAGCAAGTTCTGTTTTTCTCTCTACGGATGCTGCCCAAGTTAACGTGGAGTCCAGTGACCCTTTATCAAGACCCAACCAGTACTGTTGAAGGGTCACTGAAATTGAAACGCTAGCTCAGTTTTTCTCTCTACAGAGGAGGCCAGACATCCAGCCTGTAGCAAGAACAATGCTAATACTCCCAAAGTCAAATCTCTACTCAAGGCAGCCCATTTCCCATTCCCAATTAAAACCAATGTCATAGCATGCTTAGTCTCAGTCAGTAAGCGAGCCCCATCAACCCAGGAGAACAGCTGAGTTTGTAAAGATTGTGTCTTTATATTTTCTGTATTTCCTGTTTGTGGACTAAAATGAGAACTGTTTTAAAAATCAAAGTCTTAAGGATACTGCAGTTTTTGGAAGCAATAACATGACACTGCTGGTTTCAGTAATAGTTGAAGTATAGCTTGCAGATGGGCTGGTGCAGAAGCTTGTGCCTACAAACGGAGATTCAATAAGCAACTGATTATCTGTGGAATAGTGACCAGTTATCGATGAAGGTCTTCTGCCTGGCAACTACGATCGGTTCTCAAGTAGCTGAACAGCTTGGTGCTACGAGCAAAACAGAGACAAGCTACAAGCTCAAGAGCTCTCTGCAGTCAATGTTACTATAAGAAAACCAGTTTACTTTTCCTTCAGCAGGTGCTGTTCACTGTGATTTTCAATTAAGTCAGAGAGCTTTTTATAAGTGTCAACCAGACACGTGTACGTACTGCAAGCCAATGAAAGCGGAACAGCAAGACCGAAAAGCAGCATTTTGATCAGCACAAGAATCATCTCAGCAGGTCCTGTTAACAAGGGCCACTGACCTGCTTTTCCAGATTATCCCTCTGCCCATAAAACACAAGGATTTTTTTTCCATCTCTGTGGGCGTGTGGGCATGCATTCATAAGGAGGAGGTTTATAGAGTGGTTAGTTTTAACAAGTGGAATTTATGTCAACAGATCATTTTAATTGTAGCTATAGTTTACTTAATTGTAATTGGTAATCTGCACTTTGTCAACCTGTATCTAAAGCAACAAACGGGGAAATTTTACATACTTTAATAACACCTGTAACTTTTAATAAGAGTCCACAAATAGTGGGGCTTAATTTCTAGCACGCAACAAGAGTGAGACGTGATAAGAGTGGGATTGAACATACACTCACCTTTGTAGAATTGGGCAAGGTGGTGGTGGTAAGTATATACTATCAGTACACCATCTCAGTTAATCAAATCTTCAGAATAAAGTCAACTGATATGAGTAACCCAATTAAGAATAACTCTCGCTAACAAACATGTGTTAAATCAATTGGACTGCAGTTTGAAGAGTGACAAATGCACACCCAGTTCTAGTATTGAATCCCCACTCCAAGATCCTTTTCTCTCAAACTACTGAATATTTAAAACTAAAATTAGTTTTTAAACTGATAATATTTGAATTTTGATATAGATGTGAAAGAAGGATATCTTCAATTTTCTGCAGATATGCAGAGGTCACTTCTGGATTTTCACATATAATGAAATTTCAATCTCACCTCACTTGTGCAGAACTCTCATGCAAATGCAAAAGGGCACTCATACAAGGAGTATTTAAGTAGATTTTGTTAACACAACTGCATAAATGCAGAAAGAGATCATCTATTATGCTTAACTGAAGATAATTATAACACCAAATATATAAATGATCATAGAGTAGGAGTGGATGACTGAAACATATAATATTGAAACAGAAATGCAGAAAAACCTAAGTAGCCCTATGATGATTGCATAGGCAATGCGAGGTGCACAACAATTAAATTCAGAGAGCTCATGCCCAGGGTACTGAAACAATTGAATAGATCCTCTTCTGATCACTGCGACTCATCCACATTGAACATTTACATGTTGAAACCTAGTGATAGGGACCAGTAATCAGTTATTAAGTTCCTGAATGCTATATAGTGTTAGGGAACTCCGTGTGCTGATCAGTGCTTCATATTCTATTTTTAAAAAACGCTGTTCGAAAGGTATCAATGACTGAATAATTTACCACACCAGCCATAACCTACTGGCATCTTTGGACACAAATGAACAGCTTGTAGTCTGACTAGATTTGCCTCTATCATAACATGCAGTCAGCAGTAGGAATGTCATTAATGTGCATCTCACTATTTGGCTCTGTGGTACCTGAAAAAAAATTCAGCTTCCAGTTTGAACTAATATCTTTGCTTGTTAATTCTTGCAATGGGCTGGGTGATTGTGGCAAAATCAGGTGTAAATCTGGCACAATCATTCAACTATTCCCAGTAGACTTCTTACCTCACTCAAGCTGCATGTAGCACTGATATCCAGGTATGCAAATAAAGTATGGTGGATAGCATTTGAAATGCTGCTGAAGAAATTCCATTATTATGTTGTTCATAACCTCTGAAAAAGAGATCAGCTGCCTGGATTTGGGAGCTAATTTTAAAAGTATTGCAAGGAGGTCAACTTTCAAAAACTGTGGCTCCAAACAGTTTGTCAATAGCCATGAGGTGTATCATTCAATTGAAGCTGGACACCATCAGATTCTAATGTTCATTTAATATAGGCACGCTTGTTGAGTAAGCTTGCACTTACCCCGGTGTCTATCATTCCTTGCTTTGGTATATTCAGCGTGTTCATTTCAATCATCAATGACCTGGATAGATTACTTGACACCATCACATTCACCACCTATGCAGCATCAGGGTCTGGATGGAGTGAGTATCGCCCTCTGGCTGTGATGTTTAGTACACCATCTTCTGAAGTCTTGGATTCCATCTTCCTCACAGAACTGTCCCATGATTTAGAATGACAGGAAACTGCAAATCCATTTTGGTTAATGCGCAATAATCTGATTTTACCTCTGAAAGGGAAGGATCCTTTGTGTATTACCACTGGAATCATTTGAAGATGCTATTTTGTTCCTGGGAACTCTACATATACTGTCATGAGACATGCTGTTTATGGATGTTATTACAGTGGCATGTTTGTTCTATGCCTGAAGTTTGCAAGTCAAAAGTTTCCAATGTTCAGTCCATACCCAGCACATCGTGATGATACTGTATTTTAGAATTCTCGTGCAGGTTCTAATTCATGAATATTAGGAAGATATGTGTCTACTGCCTCACTCAGTTTGTCTACCTGGCCTAAACATTTTTTTTTTTCTTCAGCACAAAGTCTGCTCACAAGTTTCATACAGTTTGCCTCACCTTTTTCTGATACTGTAATATTAAAAACAGAATGGCATACTTGTTAGTCCCGCCTGAAGCAATCAGAAAACTCAAATCGTCTGAATCCGTTTTCTCCTTCAATCCGAGACCTGATCAACATCTGTATCAGCTGGGAAAATGATGGAAATCCTTGTTGCCTTTCCTTGAGGACTTTTTTTGTTTTAAAAGGGTATTTACGTTCGGCAAAACTGCACAGAAATGTTCTGGAATTGTCCTTTCATAGAAAGTTTTTATTTTTCAAAGTATTTAAGAGAAAATAGAAGACATGTTAAAGCATACACAAATAGTAACAAAAATGGCAGCTCAAACGAATAGCAGACACCAAATACTTAGTGACACATTAAACCCCCAGATATCAAAAGTAATATTGGGGGTAAGAAGTGAGGTGAGGGGAAGTCAGGAAATAAAAGGCCTGAACTGAAATGGTCTCCATTATCAAGAACACTAAACAGAGGGCAGCGCAGAATGACAAAGCTGCCACTGCCCAATGACAAGGGGTGGGGACGGCTTCTGCCAATTCGCTAACCATTCAAAAATAACATCCACCAATCCATGCCATAATCTCAAAGTGTAGATAAGAGGCGGCGATCTGGAAATATCAATGAAAAATTAAAAAGGTCAAGTCAAGTGTTAATACGCAGACTTAAATCATCAACAATTGAAAGAGAGGACAGAATTTTCACTGAACTGGCTCGAATAAATTAAGACCAGAGTTTCAGGAACCTCTCTTCCAAATGGAAAGGATACACAACTTGTGCCACAAAAGCTGCCAATTTCAGACTGCTTAGGCTGCAGTTCACCACAATGATAGTATTTTTTTTAGAAAAAAGATAAAAAGGGGCTGTCTTGTGCAACATTGCCGATGTCTTCAGTGATTTCTTTGTCAAGTGTAACGAACGATGGAATGAGATATCAGTTACAAACGTATACGTGCATGCAAGACAGGACACCATTTTCTTCTGCCAAGTTCTTAACTATAACTGCCATTTTTTGAAGGTTTCCTGCTTGAATCATTACGTGATGAAATCCACATAAAATGAAGTAAAGCATGCGTTTGACTGAGCAACGTGTCCCAGCTCGGAAGGGAGTAAATATGCATTTTAAATGCAAAAATATGCTTTATTCATAAATTATCTATAACTAGCGCTGTCGGATAAGCCGGCATCGTAGCCGAAAAATCTAAGATAAAGGCAAGTTCAAACATTTGCGAATAAAAAAAACTCAAGGCCGCCAATTTCCTCATGGTGGGGGGAGATATCGGGCGATTAACGGGAGCTCCAAATCTACGTGTTGGACGGTTTGAGGGGGATTCAAGGTGTTCGGTCTTGAACCGCGATCGGGTTACAGGACGGGGAGGAAGAGGAAACGCAAACAATAGCCGACTCGGCTGCAGATCGGGGCAGCACGGTTTCTGGAACACACGGTGACCCCCGGGGCGGTAAAGGAACGGAGCATGAAAGGGAGCGGAAACGTGCCCAGCCGCCCCGCCGCCGCGACGGGCGGGGCACATTACTGCAGCGGCGGGAAAAGGACCAAGGTGACAGAGCGCCTCCCGCTCGTCCGCCCCACACACACACGCCCCTCTGGAGACCAGGAGCGGTGGAAATCCCCAAGCCCACTCTGCCCAATTTCAGATCCCCCACACTTGATGCTCCTTACCTGATTGCCCAGGACGGCGGTAGCACACGCTGTCGACACCTCCTTGGGCCCGAACCATACTGATGCTACCCTAGAGGGCAGGCCAAGGATAAAAATCTGAGCGATGGAGCAGACCGTCTGGGCGAACATGGTCACTCCGAACAGGTCTTGCCTCACGCTGGCGATCTTAATCCAGGCTCCGATGCAGTTGAGGCCGGAGCCCAGTAACGCCACAGTCCGCAAGCCTTTCTTGTCGAGCAGCCAGGCGGCGGGGAAGATGAGGGGGACGTAGACGAGCATATAGACCACCGAGAGCCAGTCGATTTGCTCGTAGGAGACTTGGTAAAAATAGCAGAAGATGTTGGCGATAATGCTGTACTGGATCCACTGAAAGGCGTTCACCATGGAGTAGAGGCTGAACACGATCAGAATGACGAACCGGTTCCAGTAAACGCGCGTCTGGATCGGCTTCACATCGCCGGTCAGCATAGCCTCCCTCTCCTCCGGGGACCTAGCACCTTTCATGCATTTTCCGTCCTGCATAACACCATCTATATGGCCAGAAAGACCGTTTATAACCACTTCTTTACCGCAGGCGGTAGGTATTGCCTTTGTGACAGGGCACCCAGTTCCATCGGCATCCACCATTGTTAGCTTTTGTTTTATTTATTTTGTTGATACACAAAATATATGGTTTTTACAACTCGCTTATAAACTAAAATATATTTTTATATGTTACACGTTCGATTTTCTTCGAAAAAAATAAGATTATAATTCGCAATTAGGAGCACGTACAATTCCTAATTGAAGATGTTTCCTAAGCGAATGAGAGCGGATCTGAGATGCAGTGGTTTATGAAGCCGCTGCACGCATTCCACGAAGGCGGGGTGATAATTGACGCCGCTTTGGTCCAATAGGGGTTCGAATCATGGAGGCGTGCATGATTGACGTGGAACATTACCAATCGTCTACAACGATAGGGAGGGCATGCAAATTAGGCGTGCATTGACCAACCGGATCTCAATATCGGTGATAGAACCGACCAATCGGATACAGTGGTAAGGCGGGACCGTATGATGATTGACACCTCACTCGACCAATGTGCTACTGGGCGTCGCATCGATGTGGAAAATGCGCAATCTTCGCTAGAGAAAATTTATTTTTTTGAGAATGTCAAAATATTAGCAAAGACAAAGAACAAATCCACTTGCTAATTAGAGAATTAAAATTCAATAAAACTTCAGTTTAATCCGATCTGAAAAAATAAGAAGCACAATGGAACTCGTGTCTTGGCTTTCAGTTAAGCCAATTGAAAAATCTGTTGATGTGACATCATTGTTCCGCTACGGTTAGTTTGGAAGAAAAACTTCGAGATATCTTACGCAGGATTTTAAACACTCCGTAAACAGCGTGTGTTAAAAATATCAAGACATGTTCCACATCGACACGTTTAAATGTTTTAAATGTCTTGTTTTTTCCCTTTTTCAAACTGTCGACATCTAAAGACCATTCCCTTCAGCAAATATATTCACAAAATGGCTGTTGCTGTCATGTGATTTCATATCCTTTGACTCCCCCCAATGGCAAAAATAATTAAGAACCACCATTTGTTTGAGAAATATCATGTAAGCAAAAATAAAATTCAAGATACCCGTTCTTTTATTGCAAGCTGGATATTAAACAAAGCCTGGAACATAATTTTGATGCAAGGTATTATGGCTAAATATGGTACACAGAGTGATGATCTGGTAGTCAATAAGTATTCAGTTTAGATATGATGTCAGTTGAATAGCAAATTTCTCACGCTGTTTTTGCAATGGTGTAGATCTCTTTCTTTCTGGAGTAAACTACACTTATTTCTTGTTTCCTTTTACTCTGAGCAAATAATAAAACTACCCAAACAGAGAATGTTGGAGAAACTCAACAAGCCTGGCAGCATCAGTGAAGAGAAATAGAATTAACACTTCGAGTCTGGCGTGACTCTTCTTTGTTTCAGATTTCCAGCATCTGCAATATTTTGCTTTTGTTTGAATTAAACTATACGTCTTGCTACCAGGTTCAATAAAATTCTGCAACAAGGACGGGAGAATAAAGAGCCACATATACATGTTTGATGACAAACTTTACATTAGATAGCACAACAAGTAGCATTAATGGAAACACAAAGTTACAAAGGAGCATGACCTGAATAACTGCACAAACAAAACTGAATTCGCTGGGGAAATATAAGGTTATTAATGAAAGACCTAGGGAAGCTAAACGGTGAGAACCCAGGACTTGTGGAAGAGCAAAAAAATTTAGAAATCCATATACAGAGCTCACTAAAAGCTATAATGGGCATTATAATGTATCCAAAGGAGGCTGAAATGCAAAGAAACGCCAGTTACGAATATCAAGAGCACTGATTGCACCATAAATTTAGGCACTATGTTTCAGGAAGGATAATACAGTGGACTTTGGGACAGGGGTGTTGGAGAGAAAGGGCAGAAGTGCAGCACATATTCACCAGAATCATACATGGACTGAAAGAGTTAAAAAATGAGGACAGTAAAATCTAGGCTCGTGCTCCCTTGCCTATAGAAGATTAAAAGATGATCTAAATGAGGTTTAAGGTGATTAAAAGATTTGTTGGCTAAATAGAAAATTGTTCCTCAGTTGAGATTGTCCAATTAGAACTAGGCAAAGTTAGGAAGCACTTCTTTTTGGAAATCTGAAACACACTCTCATAGCTTTGAGACTAGATAAATTGAAAATCCATAATCAAGATAGATTGCTCATGAAGTGAAAATATCCAGAATTTGTAAATTGAGATCTAATTAGTTGGCAAGATGATTGAGGGACTAAATGATCATCTTCTATTCCTATGTCTATTATTAGCCTAATATATTGCAATATATTAAATGCAGTATTTGGTTTCATAAGCATATAAGAAATAAGTGTGTAGACCCATATGGTCAAACCTACTCTGCTGTTTAATACAAAAATAGCTGAACACTTACATGAACTTTACATTGCTGAACTATCCCAAATCTTATGCACAAAAATCTGTTGCACTAGCTAATATTAAATATTAGAAGAGAATGCCAGTTTAGAAGAGAAGAGAATGCCAAAAATTCACAGCCCTATGAAAGAGATGTTCCTTCACAGCCTTGATTTTTGTGGAGTCAGAGTTATACAGCACAGAAACAGACCTTTGTTCCAATTCATCTGCGCCAACCTGGTATCCTAAACTGATCTAGTCCCATTTGCCAGCATTTGGCCCATATCCCTCTAAACCCTTCCTATTCATAAACCCATCCAGATGTCTTTTAAATGTTGTCATTGTACCCACCTCTACCACCTGCTCTGGTAGCTCATTCCATTAACGCACCACCCTCGGTGTGAAAAAGTTCCCCTCAGGTCCCTTTTAAATCTTTCCCCTCTCACCATAAACCTGCAGCTTTGGACTCCCCTACCCTGGGAAAATGACCTTGGCTATTCACCCTACCTATGCCCCTCATGATTTTATAAACCTCTGTAAAGTCACCCCTCAGCATCCAATGATCCAGGGCAAAAAAGACCGCAGCCTGTTCAGCCTCTCCCTTTAGCTTAAACTCTCCAATCCTGGCAACATCCTTGTAAATCTTTACTGAACCCTTCATGGAAGCTCTGTAGCATACAGGTAGTTCTCCTATAACATGATAGTTGCATTCTTGTGCAGCCTCATGCTGTAGAAAATCACCATAAAAAATCGCGTTATAGGGAATTCGCTATAGGAAATCACTATACTGTACAATAGAAAGTTCATGTTATCCAAACAGCGTCCACTATTCGTTAATTGTATTCAAGCCAATTCACATTAACAAAACATGTGTTATAGCAGAAATATCTATCTAAAATGGTGGATGGATCTCACATCCAGAAATCCAAACCCCATATTCAGCTAAAATCATTTTTGCCAGGAAGTGAAAAATGAGGATGGTACATGACTCATATCTGGGGCAATCCAGAACTCAGCAGAGTTTTTAGACTCGGCACTGAGTTCAAACCTCAGCCCTTTAAAAATGCAAATGAAACTGCCTGGCAAGTGTACAAATATACCGTTCTAACATTTCTTCAGCAGTTTGTTGACATAGTCCTAAGTGCTATCAGAGTAGTATTAATAATGCTTGACTGCTTTTCACAAGCCTCCATTTTAATAATACATTTTAATATACATTTACAGCTTTGACAGCTAAAAGAAATGGATGAAGGATTAGCTGTCTGTGATTTGGGTTACACATACAAATGTTTGGGTTTTTTTCGTAACAATTTAGAAAGTTGGTGGGAATTAAATGCATTGGACAGTCTTCCATTGATGCAAATGTTTTTTTATATAGTGAAGTAAGTACTCCATATTTTGAACTTTATTTGATTTCATCCCAACATGGTGGATTCCTAAGTTGGCATATGGGCTATTAAGAATCAGGGGGATGGGTTGGCTTGAGTTGGCACTACCTTTGTTAGGAGACATAAGGAGCCATGGAGGTGGATGAGGGGTGGGGTTTTTACCGAGCTGGCATTGAGGCTACATGGGTCCATAAGCGTGGTAGGGCATATGAGTTAGCATGATCTGGAACTGTATTAGTTTAGTGGCTATAAGTAACCATGGAAATGAATAGGAGACTTGGCTTGTGACTTTGGTTTAACCCCTAATGAATGCTGAATGACCATTTGTTATGTGGGATTAATTTTGTAACCATGCAAAAGTGCCTGCTAGCTGAAGCAACTTCAAACAGGCACTACAAGTGGCTCCAACATTTGAAATGTGGCAAGTGGAGCATATGAGTTGCAGGGCATTCCGGTAAAAGTGGACACCCTAGCCAGTCCGACTGATCTTGGGGAATGCCACTTGAGTGAAGGCAGTTGCATAACCTAACTCAGGATGTATCCTGAACAGAGGGACTTACGTCAGCCCACAGCAAACCCCAAAACAAAGCCAAGCCTCAGCCAAATGATTAAAATTTTCTTCAGGATCCGGGCCGTCAAGTCATTCCAAGTGCTTCCGTAGCATTTCGTACCGTAGCAGCTGTTTCAGTAATTGCAGAACAGTCTTTAACAAAATTTGCTTTGCAAAGCTGGCGGGGAGGATGGGGCGCTGTCCCTCACAAAGCTGGAAATGAACTATGTGTACTTGCAATTGTGGTTAGATGAGGAATTCCGGATGTACGTTACAATTAGTACCCATAAGGGTTTGTACCAATATACGAGACTGCCATTTGGGATATCATCAGCCTGTACAATTTTTCAGCAGACGATGGAAACATTTTGCAAGGTCTACCCTAGGTTGTCATTTATCTAGACTATGTGCTGATAACAGGATAAACCTATAAGGGGCACTGAGAGAACTTGGACACAGTTCTTAGACATTTCTCCCAGGCAGGCATATGCCTTAGAAGGGAAAATTTGTGTTCCAGGCATCCCAAGTGACCTACTTGGGCTACAGAGTTGACAATACTGGATCACACCCATTGGAAGATAAACAGAGGGTGTTAAAAGGTGCCCTGGCTCCCATGTCTGTACTGGAGCTCATGTCTCAGAGGTGCCCACTCAAAGTGGTTGGACATGCATGGAGTTCATTTGTCAAACATGGGGACAACGATACAAAACCTGCATGCATCTTTTGCAATATACAGACTCCTGGAAGTGTTAGCCACTGATAATGACCCATTTTTGCCAGCACGGAATTTGAGTATTTCCTATAGTCAAATGACATTCGACATATAAGGACCACTTCATACCATCCATCGTCCAATGGTCTAGCAGAAACAGCAGTCCAAACTTTAAAGGCAGACTTAAAGAAACAGCCTACAGCTTCACTA